TGACCGCCAACATTTTAAATTTTAAAATTTTAAATTTTGAAAAAATAACCACCAACACTAAATTTTCAAATTTCAAATTTTGAAAAAATAACCGCCAATATTTTAAATTTTAAAATTTTAAATTTTGAAAAAATTACCACCAACATTCTAAGATTTTACAATTCGAAAAAAGAGTTCATCTATAAATATTCTCATATATCTTAACATTTTTTTTCATCATTTTCTTCTCTCCAATCTTTGTTATATTTCATTAAAATTCATCATGAATCACTCTAATTTTAATTTTTATGATGCTTTTGATTTTGATGATGACACTCCTATATTGGCTTTTCAAGTTGCTACTGCTGTGGTTGCTGAAGAAGAATCGAATAATAAAGGGCAGAGAACAGGGTATCGTGGCTCTATTCCTGATCACAATATTGTCAATCGTAATAGAAAGGAAGGTGAGTTAAGGTTATATAATGATTATTTTGCAGAAAATCCTAAATTCACTCAAAGTCAATTTCAAAGAAGATTTAGGATGAGTCGTCATCTTTTTCTTCGGATTGCAAATGCAGTGGAAGCTCATAATCCATATTTCAAACAAAGGACAGATGCTCTTGGTTTATCTTGCCTTCAAAAGATTACTGAAGCTCACAGAATACTTGCATATGGTATTCTTGCAGATCTTACTGATGGATATCTTCAAATTGGAGAAACCACTGCAATAGAAAGTCTTAGAGCTTTTGTCAAAGCAATCGTAGAAGTTTTTGGTGATTGGTATCTAAGGGCACCAAACGAGGCCGATATTTGTCGATTATTATCAATTGGAGAGCAGTGTGGGTTTCCAGGGATGTTAGGGAGCATTGACTGTATGCATTGGAAATGGAAGAAATGCCCAATTGCATGGCATGGGATGTATACCGGTCATTGTCATGAACCAACTATAATTCTAGTGGCGGTGACTTCACAAGATCTTTGGATATGACATGCCTTTTTTGGAATGCCTGGATTATTAAATGATATTAATGTTCTTGATCGGTCACCTATCTTTGCTGCACTTGCTAAAGGTCGTACTACTCCTGTCAATTATACAATTAATGGGCATGAATATACAATGGGATACTATTTGGCAGATGAGATTTATCCTAATTGATCAACCTTTGTTAAGACAATCTCAAGACCATTAGGAGCAAAGAGAAAATATTTTGCAAGCAAGCAAGAGTCTGCAAGAAAAGATGTGGAGCGGGCATTTAGGGTGCTTCAATCTCGTTTTGTAATTGTACGTGGACCTGTTCGATACTGGGATGAAGAAACACTTGCATATATTATGAAAGCTTGTATAATAATGCATAATATGATTATTTAGAATGAAGGAGCAATGAACCTTGGATTTGACTATGAACATGAAGTCAATTCCTTTATATCAGTGTCACTTGATGAAATACCAGAGCTACATGATTTTCTTCAAACTCATAATCGAATTAGGGATAGAGCAACTAGCTCTCAACTACAAGAAGATTTGAGTGAACATTTGTGGGAACAATATGACAACGAGTAGAATCTTTAGATTTTAACTTCTTATGTTATCATAATTTTCAAGTTTTTTTATGTTTTTTTTTCATTATGTTTGCTATCTTTTAAGTTAATTAATCCTACTTGTTATTGTTAAGTGTTAGAGGAACTTTAAAAAAGTATTATGAATTGATATCAATTTCATAACAATGTATTTAAAATAACTAAGAATTTTCTCCATATTTAATTAAAAATACATTACATTACAATAAATCAATCAAAGTTAATTAAAAATCAAAACCCCTCTTTTGCATAATTTCTAACTTTCTATTTTGAAAATACGCTGCAGAGATTGGATCCAAATTAGAAATATTCATTTTCTTAATTTGTTCTTCTTTCTCAATCCTGTCTAATTCTTGTTTCTCTTGACTTTTTTGAATCATCATGGCTTGTTGCTCTAACATAATTTTCCTGTCTTGTTTTTTCTGATCCTCAATTTCAACTAGAGTATCTCTGAATTGTTGTAAGAGATTCGTTATAGTTACATCCCCAACTTTATCTTTTTCTTGTTTACGTTTAAGTCGTTCCTTTGCAGCCTTCTGACCAATTGGTCTATCTTGATAAATCAATGGTTCACTATCTTCTTCTAAACTAACATAATCAGGGGTAGATCGAGTTGATGAAGCCGGACTTGTATTGACATGACCTTTTTATTTCTTGTTTGATCTTTGATGTTGACTTGCATGCTCAAATTGCCATTTGGGTTCTTTTCTTAAGATAACCCAATAATATTCTAGTTGAAATCGTTTGCCAATGCAAGAAGCATACATTTGTCGAGTATCATTAATCTGGTAAATAAATAATTAAATTAAATAATGTTAAAATATATGTTAAACAATTTAACATAGAAATGAATATTAACATTACCCTTAATTCTTCAGTCATTCCACTTAGCTGAAGATTTTCAATTTGAGTAACAAATCCAACAACTTTATCAACTTCTCTATTTATTTCTTGCCATCTACTTGAGATGCTTATTTGTGAACGATTATTCAATTTTCCTCCATTATCTACAAAGTAAGCATGTACGCGAGCCCAAAACTGTTTTGTTTGTTGTTCAACTCCTGTAATTGGATCCTTGCTTGTATTTAGCCATGTAGAGACAAGTAAACAATCCTCCTCTAGTGAGAAATTTTTACTTCTTTGTGATTTTTTTGCCGAATGGACATTTAAATTCGAGTATGTTAAGTCATCAATTAATTGATTAGAATCACTTGGTTGAGAGAGAATATCTTCTGACTCACTCATAAGAAAGTTGGTAAAAGAGCTTGGAAAATTTGAATCCATCTACATTAAAAAAAAAAAACTCAAGTTAAAACCTTACAAGAGAAGCTCACATTCAATGTCTAACAATTTTGTAGTTTTCATACATGCGAATTAATAATAAGCATTACCTCCTATTTGTTCTAACATAACAATTTGACCATTTTTTGGAACTAAAAGAGAATCGATATACTAGTTTAATTGCATTTTCAAGAAGACAAAATCTAATTGATCTCAAATTAATATAGACAATCAAAAATAAATTTTAAATATGTAACTCTATCTTTTTATCAATATCAATTACCATTATTAATTCCTCTCAATTTTATCGAAGATAACATCATAAATAAAAATTGTTTTCCTTAACCCATATTAAAAACATAAAATAATAAAGAAATAAAACTCATCACAAATATTAAATTAACAACAAAAGGTCTAAAAAATCAAGAGATATAAAAAAAAAATAGAAAAAGCTTTTAAACAAGCATACCTTTTAATTTCAGCTAATTAACACAGCCGATGTTAATAATTAACCGGAGAATAATTGATTCTTGTTTTTTTTTTAAAATTTGAGAGAAGGTTGAGGCACAATACAAAAATTTAAAACTACAAGTTTTTTCTTCATGTATTTATAGAAAATTTCTTCTATATTTTTTTTATAAAAAAAAGCTGTTGGCCAACGGCTATAAAAATAGTCGTTGGCCAACAACTATCATTTTGGCCATTTCTACCGTTAAATATAGAAACGATTGTTAAGGAAACAAATAGTCATTTTGGCTATTTGTTTAGCTCCTCCGTTGGAATGCAAACAGTAAAGAAATAAAAAGCAAAGGACGTTTAACTTCTCATTTAGCTGCTTGGTTGGAGCTGCTCTAATTGAGAAGTCTCTAAACTTGCCATCAGGCACAACCTCTTTAGCCTATACAAAAGCTCAAAGACACGTGCCCCTATTTCTCTCTTTGCGTGCCCCATGCTGGTTTAAAATTTAAATCACATTTTTACATGATCCCTCAAGTTTCACATTCTGGTTAAAGTTATCCCTTATAAAAACATTCACACACACACACACACACACACACACATATATATATATTCAATAAATTATTTAAATAACTCAAGAAAATGATAAATTAAAATTAAATTAAAAAAAATTAAAGATGTCTTTTTATATGAGTTTTTAAATATAATTTTCATTAAAACATCTATGATACACATCATAAACCCTTTTTTTAAAGATTGGTTTGTTTACTAATGGCCTCAACCACTAAGAATAATATGGTAATAAATGGTGCTGCCATGTCAAACTGTAGTCATTGTTGTTCTTCTGTTAATTTTGTTTGTCAATGGCTTTGTGTTTTTCCATAGATCATTATGTGAAGAAAAAATTAATTTTTTAATTTTTTAATTAATATAAGAAATCAAATTATTTCATTTTTATTTAATTTTTTAAAAATAATGGTTTCCTTTATCCTTGTGAAATTGAAGATTGCGGCTTCTTTTTAAATTCAATCGTTAATTTTATTTGATAAAAATCATAAGGTATTAGTTTTAGAAATAGCTTATCTATTTTTAATAAATTGTCATATTTCCATAAGAATTTTTTTCAGTTTTATTTACCTTCTAATCTAAAAATAAATTATCTTCCCTAGCTATTTTTATTCAAATTATTGTAAACTTAATTTTGTTTTTTGTTTTCAATCTTTATGTACACGTGGCATTATCCTGTGCCTTTCACCAATGGATCCGGACGGAGGGACACGCGTGATATTGAAAGTACAAAGATTCGGTTTCCCAATTGTTTTTTAGTATAGGTGCTTGTGTGACCAAGCAATGAAACTTGAGGGACTACATGTGTAATTTAATAAAGGTATCGCCACGTTCCGCCAAGTGTAGCTCGTCAATCTCCACTTCCAGAAGCCCTACACGTGCCGCCACGTGTAGCTCGTCATGGTTAGGGCAATGAACCTGGGTTGACGTGCTAGTGGTTTAGGATGAGCCTATGCATCTTTATCGAGGATCAACCTAATTCAAGGACGACGAAGTCTATATAATTCGAGCTCGGTATGTGGAGGTGACTAATTTGCGGGCGCACATATTCCTGGCTTCGTCCTCTCGCCAGAATTTACAAGACGCTTGCTTTTCTTCTGCCTCGGTGGGCTCTTGAAACATTAAGAGAGAGCTAGATATGGGGCTCTCGAGTTTCCCTGGTGCAGCTGAAGGAGTGCTACCTGTGCTGGTAATGAACACGGTCTTATCAGTTGCTCTGCTCAAGAGCATGGTGAGGTCAGTGCTGCAATTAGTGGTGGGTGCAAATTGGACTCCTCCTGATCATCATGAGGAAGAACCAGAGGAATATCCTCGAGAAAATGCGAGAGAGAGAAGAATATCAATAACCCAGTTCAAGTCTATGAACCAGAATGATGGCAGTGCTACGAATAGTGCCATGGAATGTTGTGTGTGCCTTTGTGGGTTTGAAGCTGAAGAGGAGGTGAGTGAGCTATCTTGCAAGCATTTCTTCCACAGAGGTTGTTTAGACAAGTGGTTTGATAACATTCATACTACCTGCCCTCTTTGTCGATCTAACCTTTAATTAGATTCATAAATTTTGTCTTGGTTCATAAGTGTTGAGGATTTTTGAGGAATATTAATGGTGTTCAGTTTTGTATTTTTTTTTTTTTGGCTGTCGTCGTCGTGTTAGTTCACGAGTGTTGAGAATTTTGGAGGAATCTTAATTGTGTTCCCTTTATGTTTTTTTTTTTAATAAAAAATGTATCTTCTTTATTTTTGCAAAATTAGAGAGAAGGTTGTTATGATCTTTGCTTTTATATTATGTGTAAGCTAAGATGTGTTTGAGGCTGCAAGCACACAAAAAAATAGCGAGGAGTATAGAAAAATTAATTAAGGGGTTTGAAACATTTCTTCAGAGTTAGCTTAGGATAAATGAGTATCTTGTGATTTTTTAAAATATTTAAGAAATATATATATTTTTTTTATTTTTTACATATATCTAATAAATGGGATCTTAACAATTTTCAATTTTATACTCGAAGCCTTTAATGGATAATTTTTATTTTATAAAGAATAATTAATAAATATTTTATTTTTTATTTTTTGTAGTTAAGGTATTGGGATGTTATCCATGTGATCCTTGGCTTAAATCGGCTCTGCATTTTTTATACGTATCTTTTATGCTATCTTTCAAACATTTGAAGATTGAAATGTGAAAATATATGTTGTATTTTCAATCTTTTTTTAAAAATCTATTCATTTTTTTTTTAAACAATTTATGATAGAACTTATCCAATGATGCATCAATGAAAATTATATTTAAGAATATTTGTAATATATATTTGATTTTTTCCAAGCTTCTAAATTCAGCTGGGCCGAATTAATAATTTTATATTTAAAAACAAGAGAGGACCGAAAATGAGAAGAGGAAATCATATTTGAGAAATCACCATTATTGATCATATGATATGAATATCATTCTCAATTATATATGCATGCGTACCGCAGCATGGACTCGCAACATATCAAATTATTTAGCTGGATATAATCAAGGACCAGAATAGAAATACATGACAGGAAATTTAAAGTGGTGTGGAAGCCCTTGTGCCTTACAAATTCACCCATCTTTCTTTGACAACCACGTGCACAGTGCAAACTTCTTATGCTCTAGCTTGATGAACTCCTCGGCTTCATCGTCGACATTTTCATCAAACACACCAGCCTTAACGCGTGCTTCAGGGGCTCTCTCATGCTCTACAACTCGGCCGTGCCGATTCGTGGTCTCCCAGTTATTTCTAAGGTGCTTGCCATGATTCTGCTTGGCATGTTCTGGAGAGTGTGTGAATGCCATCTTGATGGTATTATATCTTGAGTTTTTACATCACCAGTATCGGTTTTAGGCAGATTTATAGCCCGGTTTTATTCTTTAATGATGATAAGATCGAATCCGATGCCTCGCCTTTGATTTTTGAAATGACAAGTCGAGCACAATAATAATTATGTTAGGCCAACCTCGGTGCGTGCTAAAGAATATAGAAAGTGAGGAAATAAATACCAAATATTTAGATATTTTTGCGGCAAAAGGTATCTCTAAACCAGCTGGAACTTTATTCGATCCCTTGTTGAATATTCAACGCAAACCAGGCCGTTGAACCTAATTATTAATTATGATGGAACAACTTACAGATGAATTAAGGCAACTTCTATCAAGGGAGGTGATGAAGGTGTGGAAATTTCATAGAGAAATTGAGCTTTTCACGACTGATTGGGCTTGAGTGCTTAGCCTAGTTACTAGACTAGGAAGTCTAGTTTGATGCTTTCCTGCAAAACAAGCTCCTGATACTTAAGTTAATGATGAAAAAATAGCTGAGAGGGGATCTGAGGGGATGGTGAGCGGTGGCTCTCCTCCCGATGAGTGAGTGTGATGATTATCTATTCATTTTCTTGACTAGTAAGAACTGGACAAACCTACATGCAACCATTAAAAATATTTGACAGTGCGATGGATATTCTTTCACTGCGACATGAACTAATAAGCATATGCATGCATGTGAGCAAGGGCGGAGGAGTACAGGAGACTAAGGTGTGCTGTACTTCAGTTTAAAAAAAAATTATTAAAAAACTCAATATTCTTTCTGCGTAATCTTTATATTATATTTGTGAAGAAAATTAAGATTCGCTTTGCTTTTTGTTTATGTTGATGATATGATAATAACTACGGTAAAAAAAGAGAAGCCTGATCTCAGGAAAAAGGTTATGTCTGCTGTCATTGTTAGGCAATGTAAACCTTGGCGTCGAAAGAATGGTGTTTTCATGTTTTTTAAAGATAATATTGGTATCATTGTGAACCCAAAGGAAAAATGAAAAGCTCAGCAATTACCAGTCTAATTGGAGAGGAATGTGCTGATCTTTGGCCTAGGATTGCAAGTGCAGCTAATTCTAAGAACTTTAATTTGATGTTTTTTTTTTTTGGAATCATACTATTGTTAAGTCTTATATGTTTTTATAGGGTTAATTTTAGTTGTGTTTTTTTTTATTTTAACTAAATTTTATTTGAAGCTTTATATGTTATAATGAATTTTATGGATTTTGTATATATAAAAAAAATTTTCAGGGCTCCATCCCGAACCCCAACCCCAGTAAAGAACGCCCTATCTCCTACAAATATATTTACTAAAGTAAAAAATAAAAACTTTTTCTTTTGTTTTTCTCTTTTGTTTTTTTTTTGTAAAAAACTCACTCTTTATAAAAAGATTTTGTTTTCTATTATTTATTAAAATTCATTCTTTTATCTTTATCAATACTCAAGAAAGTACTATGAGATTTTTATTTTTTTCCTTCTCACAACATCATGTTTTAGCTTAGAATTTAAAAAGGAATTTAAATAAAGTCACAGGAATACAAAACCATCACAATTAAGTAAGAATTTCTAAGTTTTAAGTTAGCTCTACAACAAGAATCAATAACAGTTTACAGCTCAAGATTAAAAAAATTTCTGGCTCGCACTTGCATGTGAGATATTTTTACAAGCACAGTAGATTCTGAAGGAGAGACGTCATGCTATCTCTTGAAAAATGTAGACATCATCCTTGTTTTGTGTGCCTGTGACGACAGATTGTTGTGGTATGTCAGTTTCTGGGTTCGCCTGGTCTGTGAACGTTTTCTGGCCACTCGAGACTGGCCTGAACAGCCAGCTACGATCTCTAGCTGTTAGCGTCTGGCATAGACGGCTATATTTTATTGTTTTTTGAGGGCCATCAGCAGGGCCGGAGCAAGAAAAAAAATTGAGAAGGGCCAAATTAAAAGAATCATTTTAAAAAGGTTTATTTTATTAAAATATATATTAAATGAGGGCCAAGAGAGGGGCTGGGAAAATTTTCCCTGCGGGGGCCGGGGCCCCCGCCAGCCCCCCCCCTGCCTCCGCCTTAGCGTCTGGCATAGACGGCTATATTTCATTGTTTTTTGAGGGCCATCGCCCATCAGGAGGTGGCGAATATGCTGGTGAAGTTTTAATCAAATTCGTTTGTGGTTCATGGTAACTTCTTCTTTACCTCAAGCAAGTTAGGACGAATCACACCTAATCTAAATTTGAGACCGGATACTCCAGTACATTCCTTGAATACGTCATCGGAGTTGGTTTCAGGGGAATGGGTTTTGAACAAAAATATAAACAGAATCTTTTATAATATTTAAAAAATGTTTTTTATTTTTATTTCTATATGTATGTTGATAAGTGAAGCTTGGATATTTTTTATTTTTAATTTAAAGTCTTTTTTTAAGGGGGTCAATTTTCATTTTATAAAATATAATTGATATTTATATCTTACTTATTCTTTGGATCTTTTATTAAATGGAGGTCTTGAACCATTATTCAAATGATTTTCAATTTAAATCTGACTCTGCTAACAAATAATTATCAGTTTTAAAATAGAATATCGATCCATCTCCCTTAATTTTTAGATTGAATGATTCCTTTGTGGAATAATGCAGGAATGAAGGCTTTTTGTTTAATAAAAGAAAGAAAATAAAGGATCAAAGCTTTGGTGCGTCTGGTTGATTATGATATTTGATTTCAGATGGCCTTGATTATGCATCTATGTGTTAGCTCTAATGTAGTATTGACGAGGTTCATAGAAAATCTAACATGAACAACTATTTTTGAGGATGGTGAATAGACTGGGAGGTTGGTTGTTCCATGTCGTGGTAGTTTTTATTTTTTTAAATATTTAAAAATATATTATATTGATATTTTTTAATAATTTTAATATTTTGTTGGGTCTATGAACACCCTAAATCTAACACAGTAGGTTATGTAAAGGAATCAAATCTCATTCCTCATCATCAAAGTATATATCAAGAATCAAATTTTGTGTGCTAGGCATTTCCAATTGTAAATGAAAGTCCTGTTACTTTATTATGCTTCTGAGTTGGATGAATGCATCATATTCTGATACCTCGCAATGACACTTATGGTTTCGTGTCTCTCTCTTTATAAAGGAAATATTCGAGCTCGAGATTTCTTGAAGGAAGGTGAGTATGCTGTCTTTCGACTTCCATCTATCTAAATAACAATGATAGCACTCTCTTTTTAGGTATTAAAGCCAAAGAAAACATGTAGATAGCAAAAGGTGGGATGGTGATTTTGATTCCATCATTCCTTTTTCTTCCTTCAATGTTTTTTCCCGAAGGAAGCTTGGTAATAAAAATAGAAGCAAGCAAAAGAACTGAAAAATAAATTAAATTAAAAAACTAAAAAAACAGAACCATGAAAAAAACTAATTGAAATTTTTAAAAACAAACAGATTCGGTTCGGTTTTATAAACCTGATAATAAAAAAACTAAATCAAACCAAATCCAAACTAAAAAAAACTAGAAAATATCGAGTCAAACAAAAAAAACTGAGCCAAACTAATTTGAACTAATTTTTATTCTAACAATAGAATTGAAATCGATCGGTTTGAACTGTTTTTTTTTTTTAATTTTAGTTTGATAAAATCAACATGAAACGAAAAATGATCACTCATAAATAAAAAAAAATTATAGACTTGTAATAAATATATGAATAAAATTTTATTTGTTTTTTAGGATACGGTGTTTGTCTGTATATGTATGTTGATTAAATTTCAAGATAAATAAGATGCTTTAATATTTTTTAACTTAATAGAAAAACAAGATCTTCTCAACTAGTTTCTCCCTTTAAATTGTTTTCTATAGTTGTTTAACAAACATTGTTCTAACTTGTTCCTTCTAATAGTTAATTACTATGATCTATTGTATTGGTTATTGTATTGATGAGGGTTTTTTCCCCTGTTCATAGTTACTGTCACATTAGTAAAATATTAGAAATTTCAGTCTTAAGTTGTTGTTACCTTCGAAACACTTCTAATATTTTTACCATACAGCCCAAGTCATTACACAACACAAAAATCTCAGTGAGATCCCAAACAAATTAACTTGTAGGAACATTGATAAAATACACAAGAAGAGATGCAAATATTTTTTTCTTTATTTATATGATATTAAAAACAGATGCCATGCAAGACTATCATGTAATGTTGATCGACATAAAATTAGGCCTTGTGATTTGCACCAATAAGTAGGGTCAATGGCCATCATCATCTGCTAAATAATTATTCGAGAGCAGCAAACGAACAAGGAATAACTTGGTATCAACTGCCATTTGCCAACGCCAGCTTCCATGCCAGAGAGGCATGGTGTTTCTGTCAAGTTCAACAATATTTGGACAAACATTATGACATTGTGCATGTTACAAGGCAAACTACGACAAAATTTCTGCTATTTATTTGCCTCATGAACACCAAGTAAACGACAGCTTAACGATAATATCAATGATCCCAGTTTGGAAACAGGCAGCATGTCCGTCCATTTAGTAGTTTTAAAAGGATATTTAAAAATGTGATTGGAGTTATGTTTTAAAGTAATTTTTATTTAGAAAAGTATATTAATAATATTTTTTTATTTTTTATAAATTATTTTTAAGATTAATATATCAAAATAATTTGAAAACATCAAAAACATATTAATTCAAATAAAAAATTTAAATTCTTCTAAAAATATTTTTAAAATACAGTGCCAAACACGACTATTGTAGGGAATGATAAAAAAACTAACCGATTAAACTGAGAATCGAGAAAACTAAATAAAATAATCAAAAAAACTGAACTAAGAAAAAATTTGAATTAACTAATTAGAAAACTAAAAATAAAAATCTAGTTCAGTTTGTTTTTGGTTTCAAAAGTTTAAAAACGATTGAACCGGACCGGACCAAACCGATTCAGTTTCAAGTTTCAACCCTAATTAAAACCTAGATATAAAAGGCTTATTTTATTTATTAAAACTCTATTCTCCTATTTTAATTTTCTCTCACAGGTCATAGTCATCCTCTTCTCTCCTCTCTCTAGTTTGCTCATGTTTCCCTTACCAGTCATCCTTTTCTTCTTTTTTTTAATCTTTGATTTCTTAGTTATATGCTGTTAGTATTGGTATTGAGCAAACTCAAGTACTTTTTCACTAAAAAAATTAATTTAGGTTTTAAATGAGTTTCTTTTATTTCCACAACTTGACTTAGGCCATGTTTGTTTCCTGGAAAACAGTTTCCAGGAAACCACTTTCCAAACTTTCCTCTATTTGTTTGTTATTAGGAAAGTTGGTCAACAGAAAACACTTTCCGGTCAACAGAAAACACTTTCTGGTCAACGGAAATATTTTTTAGTCAAAAAATTTTTTTGCTTAATTTTCAGAAAAGTGTTTTCCTTTTTAGCTGTGTTTGTTTTCCGGAAAGTGGTTTCTAGGAAAACACTTTCCAAACTTTCATGTGTTTGTTTTGCAGAAAGTGATTTCTGGGAAATCACTTTCCAAACTTGCTTGTGTTTGTTTGCTGTTAGGAAAGTTGATAAATGGAAAACACTTTCCAGTCAAAGGAAAATTTGGCTTGATTTTTAGGAAAGTGTTTTCCTGAAAAATTTGGGAGGAAAACACTTTCCGGAAGTTGTGAAAAGTTTAAAAATGTCATTATTTGCTGATTATATCAAATTTGATCCTCAAACTTTTGATTGCTATATATATTTTGTTTTGAATATTTATTTTTCAATTTCATTTCTTAAAATTTAATTTTTATATTTACTTTAGTTCTCATTTTTATAATTGTTATTTGATTTTCTCCTATTATTTTTTTATTGAAATTTTTTTCTATCAAATTTGGTCCTCATTCTTTTGATTGTTATTTATTTTATTTGAAGTACTTTATGAAATGTTAATTATTATTATTTTAATTTCTTCATCTTTTTTTTTAGATTTGATCTTTATTATTTTGATTATTATTTATTTTATTTGAGATAATTTATGAAATTTTTTTTTTCAATTTCATTATTATTCAACTTTTTAATTTGTAAGATTTATTCCTTATTATTTTAATAAACTTGAGAAAAATAAAATATTAATAAATTATTTTCCAGTTCATTTTCCATAACATAACCAAACACTGGAAAGTGTTTTCCAATTCATTTTCCATAACACTACCAAACATCGGAAAATACTTTACTTTTCAGGAATTCATTTTCCTCGGAATTCACTTTCCCGGAATTCACTTTCCAAAAGGAAACAACTTTCCTGCAAACAAACGGGGCTTTAATGTTAAATTTCTCATCAACTTTTTGTTTGAAGATTGTTAGTTCATTTGACTCGTAAAGAAAAAATAACTTGGTTTTCATGGTAGAGAAAACACTTTTTTATTGCCTTTTGTCCGCTTTTATTGGTTTTTGCTTGAAGTTTTACTTGGAAATTATTCATTTGTTATAGTTTGGAAAAATAAGTCCAACCAGTTTTTTAAAAAAAACTAAATCAAATCAAAATAGTTGTTTTGAATCCGTTAATCGGTTCAATTTAATTTATCATTAAATAAATATAAATTTCAGTTTGGATAACTTTTTTAGTTTAAAATTGAAATAATCGAAAATAGTACCTCTACTTGCTAGTATGTGCAAAGAAATAAAAAGGATTGTAATACTGCCCTGGCAACTCGAAAACGTAATACTGCCCTAGATGGAATTCATTGGATTGCAGAGACGGAGGAAAAAAAGCTTTGTGAAAAAAGGTTTATAGAACAATCTTGCTTTGTTAACTTAAATGACATTAAAATCTGATAACGAAAATCAATCTAAATAAAATAAAAAGGATAAATAATATGAATGAACAAATTAATAGCATAAAGAAATAATGTCTTAGAACAAAACTTCCTAGTACAAGGGAAATCACTGAAACCTCATACTATTCATCGAGCCTTTAGAGATTCAGATTATACGAATGATAAGAAGTCCATATAAACCTAGTAACACCTTAGTTATTCTCAATGTCTCATCCCAACAAGTTCCCAATTAGTAAAAACACCAGGTTAAATGAAACCCAAATTCCAGAAGAAAGCTATGTACACAATGTGACCCAGAAAACTCAAGAATTTTCCCACCTCTTCAAACATTTTCCATTCCTAGTTTGACATTTAGCATGCTGCGTACCAGTCACTTGCTACAGATCGCAAATGTTCGATTGAAACCTTAAAAAGGAGTCACACAAACTGCATCTCCACGTAGCCTTTACAAAAGCAGCTAACGAAGTATCTAGGAAAATCACCCACTTTCTCTTAAGCAGTTCCCAGGCAAGAGAAATTTATACTTGTCCGCCTTCTCCAGAAGATATGATGGAAGATGAACAGCTGAGTAGGAATGAGGAATTGGTCCCATTTTCCCAATAATTTCCTTGAATGTGTACTCCTCTGGAAGCATATCAAATAAATCAGCACCCTTGCAAATTACTCTCTGGATTCTTTCAGGGTTCAAGTAACGTTTGAACCTGACTCTATCAAAATGACTGTAAGCTTTCATCTTGAATATAAACTCACTTATATGGCGGAAACAAAAGCTGCAGTGCCACCCTGCATCTGCCAAAATGTCATCTGCCTGGCGATAATGTGCATACTGCGTCGTGCCTGTCTGATATCTGTGGACTGAAGCTCTCCAGCTGTTATTGTCCACGAGAAACTCAAAAGAGTAGAGATAATTTTTCAGCCGGAGATGAAGAACTGAAGGAATGTCATCGCACCACCTCAAAAGATTGATAGTGTGTCTGCTTGGTATCTCATCAACATCTGACATTATAAGCAAGTCATCATCAGAAATCCCTGCTATTTTGATAAGTCGATCCAATGCCACTCGTTGGAATGCCTCTTCGATAAAAGGGTTTTCCCCTTTCCTAGACCTCCCTCCGACGGTTCCATAGGTCAACCTGGGCTCAACAAATTTGAACAGATCTCGATGGTTGGCAAAATAGAGAAGCTTTTCTGTCCCGGTGAAGGTTGAGTTAGACTCAAGGAGAATGAACTGTGTGATGTAAGGGTACAATTCTTTCCATCGCAAAGTTAGGATGTCCAGTTCATTACTGAATAACACTGCATCATAAACACGTCTTGGGAACTCACGAATTCCCCAACCGTGGAGTTTGCAGAGGTTCTCCATTGACACATTCTCATGATAATAGTGTGGGATTTCATTGAACTGTTTTGGTGGAGATTCCCATATTGGCCGCAAGAAGTATGAGATCTTCTGTCCATGCATGTAAATACCATAGACACATGGTGGCACGAGTATAAATAGAAGCAAATACATCTTTAAATCCATGCCACGAAGGATGCACCTGATTCTGGACATACTCAAAACTCGGCTCGAGTCCTGCAGATCAATGAATTTCACAATGCAAGTCAAAATGATTTCAGAAAGAAATACAAAGCAAACCAAATTACTTGTAGATGATCAATGTAATAAATTGTCGTATAAAACCGATGTAAAATGAGCATGTAGAAAAAGAATATGTAACAGAAATAAATAAATAAACAACAATTTCTCCTGCAAGCAGAATGCCCTGTTCGAGAACAGTACGGATGAGAGAATGCAGAGAAAATCATTCAGTAAACCAGCATCTTAAATATTCTATCTTCTTAAACACAAATTATCCTAAAGTGGAGACATTTTATAATCAGAGCTTCCAGACGGCCAAAATCGAAAAGGCCCAGATTGAAAATTCATTATGTATGTTATTAAATAAATAAAAAAAGGCCTTCTTTTTTCAGATGCCCGACCTTAAAAAACCTCAACCGTGATCCTTTCAAATCCTCCAACAAGTCCCAGATTAAATCCAAAACTCAATAATCTATCTACGAACAAGAAAGAAAAATCCAAGAAATCCCAAGTCCGATAACAAAACATCTGTTTTTCATGACATAATCCAGAATTCAAAGAACAGGCATGTATAGTTATCAGAAATGAAAACAATATATGTGTGTGTGTGTGTCAAATGCAAAAAACGAAAAGGCCATAAGTCTCATACATATCAAAATGGGTTCGAAATTACCTGGCCACAAAAATCACTACAGATATCATCAGTCTTCTTAGAGCAGTAATGGCCGCCATTTTCATTCATCATCCACCACATTTTTTAAAAATTATATATATATTCTGTTCTTCTGCAACTGCTCTAAAAAAAATCAGATCAAAACCCAAAAACAAGAAGAAAAAAACCAAAATGGTTTTTCTACACTCCCTGCAATCACTATCTTTCGAAATTCCCCTCCTCGATCTCCGCTTGTTTCTAGCTAGCCGCACAACCAGTAAATTTCGCCGTTTATGCCCCTCTCTCTCTCCAAACAAATGGTTCTTTATATAAAAAACGATAAAGACTTTTTAGCAAAACCGATAGAATACCTCGATCAACTCCAAAATTAACGAGCTTAATTATTTTTTTTCTGAAAGAACAAGGTAACGTAGCATCTCTGTAAATTGGGTGGCAGTTGTAAAGAGAAAGGACCCTCTATTCTAATTCTATGCATCGACGCGTCCATCAACAAAATATAAAGGGGGAGAGATTTAAATATTAAGAAAAATATGTTAATCATCAATTGACTAAAATCCCCATGCCTTTTTGGGCTTGTCTCCCTTCTGGAGGTTAAATCAGCGTGGACAATTCGGGAATTTAGAAAATAGTTAGACTTTGGAGAGTGTCGTTTGTTGCCTGGCCTCGCCTGGCCTTGTAGGGCTTGATCCCAACGCGTCTTTTGACTTGTCTTAAATTCAAGAACTAGGCAAACAACCAAGTCTTTCTTAATTTGCTTCACCTTTTAAGTTGCTTGGATATTAATGCGTTATTTTTAATTTAATTTATATAATTATTTGAAGATATTATAATTATAATCCTTTTAAGTTGCTTGTTATTTTTCTTAGAGTACAAATACTTTATAATGATGAAGAAAAATAAAACTATATTATTACCCTAAAAAAAAAACAATATTGTTCAATTCACAACTCCTTGTATGCTTATGATCTACAAACTAATTGAAATGCTCAATGTTTGTTAGGACAAGAAATTTGAGGTTTGGTTAAGTCATAGTTAGATGGTACATTTGCATAATTTAAAAGAACAGGGACTAGTTTGAAATCTCTGATCAATAGCGGCACGACTAATCCGTTGAGGTTACTTTACTAATCCTATTCCTTGTGCATCTTGACACATGTCATTTTTGTGCTGTGTTTAATTGAATTTATGTATTATTATTATTAAAGATGGTTTTGGAGTGTTATAAAGTATTTTTTTATTTAAAATATATTAAAATAATAAATTTTTATTTTAAAAAAATTATTTTAATATCATCCTATCAAAAAAATTTAAAATAAAAAAAATAATTTTATTTGAAAAAAATTAAAATTTTAAAAAACACATTTTGAATTCGACTTTTCTAAACTTGTATTTTAAATTTTATTTTTCTTGAGAGGACTTGACTTGGATTGTGATTAGCAGCACATGGCATAGCTAGAGAAGAGAGGAAGTGTTGTCTTTATGGACCATACTGTTTTCTTTCTACATTCTTTTTCATCAATTACCTTAATCTTCATTTGAAAATTCAAAACCAACTAAAATGAAAAGAAAAATTAAAACAATAACCCATCACACGTCGACAAGTGTTTATTTTTGTGTGATACGCTATATTTTAAAATACGAGAAATTAATTTGTATATTACAAATTGTAATTTCAGTTTTTTATATAAAAATAATATCCATGAATAATGATAAAATCTCA